AATGACAAGGGGATCTTTCCTCAGCCTGGAAAGAGAAGCTTCAAGGGGACCCCACACTCAGAGTTTCTGACTTGCGTCCCGTAAACCTTTGAAAGACACGCTGGCCTGGTAGCGGATTCCAAGGATAAGAAACTCAAGGGTCAAGAAGCTGAGGTTGTCAGGGCAGCAATAGGACAAAAAAGGGGGATCCACACTGGGAACAAGCTACACTTCCACTAATGTGAGGACAAAGGGTCAAATGAATAAGGAAACTTGTGTGGCTGGAGTGACCTGTGAGAACAGGCGGTCCTCCATTTGGCATGGAAGGATCCCATGAGTCCAGTGGATACCTGGGAAAGTAATTATGTTGGGGGAGACACCTTGGTGTGACTTCTCCCAAAAAAGGACAGACTTCCAGGGCAGGACATCTCCAGGAACACCAGCAGTGAGAGGCCATGGGATACACGTTCAGGGGCAGGAGCTGAGGCCGTGACTTAAGAGGCCAGGATAACAAAATAGAAAATACCTAGATATACATAACACAAAATAAGCATAAGCTACCTTGTAAACTGAAAACTAGAATACTCTAGAGAGGGACACACACAAAATTAAATGGAGACACATTCCATGTTGTGAGATAAGAGCACTCTTTATTGACCACATGCCCCCCACTCCAACCAAAAAAAATATTAAGATTTTGGGGGGAATATGACCAAATAGTTCCTTAGTTTATGTATAATAAATATGTATACATGAATAAATATATAATAAGATCTGAGAATAATCTGAGAATTAACAGAAAGAGTGGTAACTTAATTTTACTTGGTACTAAAAATCCTATTTTAAAGTTAGAACAGGTGGTATTGGCACAGAAATAGATCAGCAGAACAAAGGAGAACATTCAGAAATAGACTTTGGTATCTAATTCAGTATATAATTCAAACCACTAGGGGAAAAAAGTCAATGAATATTAATAGGACAACTGGCTAAAACCATTTAACAGCTTAATTTAAAGAAAAAAAAAAAAAAAAAGATCCCCTCTGTCCCGAACCTCACTCTGTATACTAAAATAAACTTCAGATGGATTAAAGATTTAAATGTTTTTATTTTTTTTTTTAACGTTTATTTGTTTTTGAGACAGAGAGAGACAGAGCATGAGCTGGGGAGGGGCAGAGAGAGAGGGAGACACGGAAGCTGAAGCAGGCTCCAGGCTCTGAGCTGTCAGCACTGAGCCCGACGCGGCGCTCGAACTCACGGACCGCGAGATCATGACCTGAGCGGAAGTCGGCCGCTTAACCGACTGAGCCACCCAGGCGCCCCTAGATTTAAATGTTTTTTAAAACTGCTGAATTATATTTATTACCTTGAGATTGGAAGGTCCCTCAAGCATGGCACCAAAGATACAATATATAAGGAAAAAATGGATAAATCTGACTACCTAAATTTTAAGGTTTTGTGTGGCAAGATATGACACAATCAGGGTCAAAAGGGGGAATGATAGGGGCGCCTGGGTGGCGCAGTCGGTTAAGCGTCCGACTTCAGCCAGGTCACGATCTCGCGGTCCGTGAGTTCGAGCCCCGCGTCAGGCTCTGGGCTGATGGCTCGGAGCCTGGAGCCTGTTTCCGATTCTGTGTCTCCCTCTCTCTCTGCCCCTCCCCCGTTCATGCAATGTCTCTCTCTGTCCCAAAAACAAATAAACGTTGAAAAAAAAATTAAAAAAAAAAAGGGGGCAATGATAAGCTAGAAAATTTGTTTATAAAATATATGACAGCCAGGAATAAAAATTACTATGATACAAAGAGCTTTTCATATCAATAAAAGACAAACCAAGTACCGAGAAAAAAGGCAATTCACCCAGACAGAATTACAAATGACCAATAAACATGCAAAAATAAAGATATGCAAATAAAGCATGGAAACATCATTTTTCACCCATCAGATTAATCAAGATGAAAGATATCAACAGTGCCCAGTGGTGCTGAGGCTTTCTACTGGTGAGATTGTAAACTGGTATAAACTTTCTGCTAAGATGCCTCTGACAATACGTAGTAAACGTAAAACATATATCATTTTCAATTTCACACAATTATACAATTTGTATAAGAATAGTAAACATCTGGAAACATCCTAAATACATAATGCACAAAAGAGTATTGGCTAAATAAAATATGGCACAAAATTCTAATGCGGTCACCATTGACTGCATTTAAAAAATGTGCCCAGAAATGAAAGAAGCAGTTTACAAAACTACACATGTAGTTTGACCCCATTTTTGTAACCCAAAAAATGGGCTGCACCAAAAAATGTATGGATATGGATACACACGCATACACACACACATCACCAAAATGATTCATTTATTCTCCTTCTCTCTCTCAAACAATAAGAACACTGCTTTTTTAATTGATTTGCTTCAATGTATCACCTGTCCACAAACTTAGGCACAAAGAAAGCCCCATCCTCTTTCCTCTCCAAAATGCAGCACTTCAGTTCAGCAACAACAGTCATGCAGGCAAAAGGCCCCTAAAGCACTAATTGATTGACTACTACTAACATTGGTTTTCTCTTAGATGAATAGAATGGAAAAATAGAAGGTTTAGAAACTCCAAATGTGAGATCAGCAATAAAATGGGAACACCTTTTTACTTCCTTTAGCATCACTTTAAATATTAACTTGATCCCAAACTAATGTGGAATTGCAAGATAATCACTTTTGCTCTGGTCTTGGATTAAGTGCCCAGCTACAGTTTCAGGTCTTGAGTCAGAGACAAACTATTACCTATTTCCCCTAATTAACCTCCAACTCTTTGGTGGTTTGTGGCTCCTTGTAGAAGAGATCTCGGGGGGAGATACCTTTTACTGAAAAGACAGATAAAAGAAGATCGGCTACAGTAGAAAGGTCAATGGTTAAAATACATATATGGAGAGAGAAACACAAAGGCCTGACTCTCCCCAAAACCAAAAGGATGTCCAAAGGTGAGCTCAAGGCCAGTCAAATCCCAGGAATGAGGACTAGACTTGCATCAGATGACTCGGCCCCACAACTCAGGTCACATACCTGTCTGAACCCATTTCTCCATTCTAAAGTGGGAAAAACGGTAACCCCTAACCTTCCCACCACACACGACTGTTATGAGGATGGAATAGAAGAATGTGTATAAACAAAAACTCCAGTGGAGATAAACAAAAACCTCAGGCATGCAGACACACAAATCAGCCAGGGAACAATCTGCTCCTATCTGGTCAACCTCTAATTTTGATTCCTAACCTAGAAGGGAGCTCACAACTGGGTCTCAGTGCTCACCTCTACACGCTTCCCCATGACAGTCAATAGGGGGAGATCCTGCCTCCATCCTCAGCTTGGACCTGGCTTTATTTAGAGGCACTCCAAAGCGACTCCAAGTGCTGCCTGGGCAGCCCTTGGGCAGACAGACCCTGCATTCTCCCGGGAAGACCCACTATTGCTCTCCTGAGATGCCCTCCCCCCCTTAACCACCAAACCCGTTGGGGGGGGAAAAAAAAAAAAAAAAAGAACAGTAATGTAGTAAAGCTCCCGGGTGAATTTAGAGAACCTCAAGCTGCCCACCGCCATGTTTATGAGGAAACTGTTAGAAAAGAACTGCAGAAAGATATACATCCTTTCTGCAAACTTCAGCACCTGCTTCTGTTCAGTAATACTACTGAACAACTGTGTTATGTACTCAGAAGTACAGTTTACCGAACATTTTACTTAATATTTAGTCAGTTATTTTACCCAGAAACTTTTGATACTGAGCAGGTGGGATTTCTTGCTTTCAACGACAATTTTGCCAAGTTCCCATGTGGACCACAGTAACTTCTTTGGCAGTTAATTTTAGAGCTGGAAATTAAGGGGGCTACAGAAACATATGGTGTTTACAGAACCAGTAAAACAACAACAACAATAATAATTAATTCAGATTCTCTCTTTGGATAGAGGAGACTTTAGGAAAAACCTTATTCATCAGAGACCCTACCCTAGTAACCACAATAATTTGTAAGGATTCCAAATTTCATTCAAGAGCTGTGAAAATAGTATGAGTTTGAATAGTTGCACATAAAGATTAAAAGTAGAAAGGTATTTGTATTAGTCTTTTGAGAGCTCTACTCTATAAATCACCTAAGATGAGAGCAGGAAAGTTTCTAAACACTCATCTGCGGTTGTAGTCCAAGGTAGTACCTCAGAGGACAAAAGACAACTATTCCTAATACTGCCTAAGCCGGCACTGAACATCCAGGTGTCAGGATATTGCTTCCCTCTCTCTGACTCTTCCTAATTGAGGGGATATACTTGGACCTGGATCTCCCAGGGCAACTTCATAGACAGTTTACTGTTCCTACTGTTTCCTCATCTGCAATACTCAAGCTCAGACCACACAGATCTGACCCTCACTAACACCCAGGAAGCTCATGGAGAGAGGACACACAAGTCCATCCTATCAGAAAGACTGTCCCTTTTCTCAGGACTGCAACACTGCACAGTTCCAGGGCCACGTTCATATGCACCTTGCCCTGAGGTTATACAATATAACTGTCTCCTGGTTTCCTCCCCCTTGCTTTTTATTCTCCAGGCCTAGAACAGGGAGAAAAGGGATAATACCATTGTTACTCAGGAAAGCCACACGCCTCTGTCTTCTCCATTCATTTCTTACTGAGCCTTGGAATTACACCACCAGTTAGAGAAGAAAGTTAAAGAACACTGATTCAGAGTTTAAAAGCCAAATCTAGTACATTCCGTCTGTAAATTCAGCAAGTTGACGGTGGGCCCACGGCTGCTTGCATTTAATGTGTCATGATTCATGATAAAGGAACAGTCATAGTTATTGAGGTTGTAGGTAAAGGGGAAGATTACACATCACTCACATTCTTCCCCCTTCCCTATGAACACATGGATTCTGGCCATGGGCTTTATAATGTTTCAACCCATTGTTACTAAAGGAAGGCAGAGGTCATTTATATCAGAGAGTAATAAAAAAGGTAGACAAGGCTGCTATAAACTTTGGTGTGGAAGAGAAGAACTGACTAAATTAACAGAATATTTTTATTGGAATGAAAACTTGTGGCTTTTGATTACCTGTAAACCAATGGATCTGTATCAAAGCGACACTGCCTAACACACATTGCAGGGAACTGACTGGAGTCAGGCCGGGTTAGTATACTATTAGCATGTCGATCGATTGTAAGAAAAGGGTTGCTTCTAAAATGTTTGATGAGTTTGCCTACTGTCAATGAGCTCTATCCTTTTGAATGACCTCCTTCATAAAGGCAAATTCTAGCCCAAACTTAAGTCCCCCTCATCGCTCATTGTAAAAGGATGGATTCCAAATTAATTCAGAGATGCCATAAAGGAAGATGCAGAGACTCTCTTGTATTCAATGTCCAGAAGAGCTGACTCTCAGGTATCACTCAGAGGAAGACAAGGGTCCAGCCCACATGATCTTTAGCCTGCGGTCAATATTATATTGTATATCAAGGGTCTCACGTTCACACACAGAACTGATTGTGTAGCAAGCAGAGAAGACATCAGCAATTCCTGAGTTTCCTCCTTTTGGGGAATTCCACGGAGGTATTCACCATCCTGAATCCAGAAACGGGACCAAGCTGGGAATGGAAAAAGTTGCGGACCCATACACACCTGGGTGGAAGCCACATGGGGCCTCTGTCTAGGCAGGCACCTGAGAAACAGCCATAACATCTGCCTCAGCACCGTGCATCCTCCACAGGTAGTGCCCGTCTGCAATCTAGATGTGGAGGAGGAAAAGAGTCCATTGACACACTCTGGTTTTCCCTTGGTGTATCTCTACGTGCAGCTCACGTACCCTCATGGGAAGCAGCATGGGAAATCAGCACAGCCATCACCAACCCTGCTCTTTTTCTGCACCAGAAGCGCATCTCCCTCCCTGCCCGAAGGTGTAGACTACTCGTGCCTTTCACCTGCTGAGTGCTGAGCCCAGGACAACCTCTGCCCACATCCCCTTTGGTTCTCCTCAATCCCAGCTGTTCTCATGACTCCAACCCCATCCTTCCGCCATTCCACTCATTTCTCAAAAATGACAGTCTCACATACCACACGGCTGAGAAGGACAGGAATGCGAGAATAATCACAACAGCCACGGAGCCCAGCCCAACGCCCACCATCTGCTGCAGCATGAATGACGAATCTGCGGAACAAAACCACATGCTGAGCCCACAGCAGGAATCGTGGCCCTCCCAGGAGGCACAGGTGCACCTGTGCTCACTCCATTTTAACCCAGAGCTTGGCCCCATTTACTAAACCATCCCAAGAATGCTCAGAGTGCCTCTGTGTCCCCTGAGTTGGCCTGGAGGGTGTAGGGCCTAAGGAAAATACACTTCCAAGGGATTTCTGAAGAGGAAATAGAAAACCAGGCCACATTCAAGTTACAAGGGATAAAAAAGCTCATCTTGTTGTGAATACAAATACAGCAGACCGTGTTGCTTGTATTGGTCCTCTCTCAACCAATTATGCCTGAAAGTTTTTATAGGCAGTTTTCGTTTGCACTGAGGAAGAAAGAAGTCATTCTGACATCGTTTGGATTTTTGCTCCAAAAATGATAGGTAGGTCCAGTGGTCAAACACAGCAAACAAATCCTCCCTGCCGGATAGAGTCATCTGTCTTTTTCCCTGCACACCTACAAGGACAGCACCTCCCTGCTCTGCTCAGCAGGTTGCCATGAGGATAAAGTAAGAAAATTGATGTAAAACCTCTTTGGAGGATGTGTATATGTTCTCTTTGGGGGGTATCATATGTCAACCCCAGGGGGATGCTTTGTTATAAACCAAAAGACACCCACATTTGAGTTGCACATTTGGGCCAAGTGACTGAATCAGAGCATCGTGTTCTACACTGAAGGGCTCATTTTCATTTGCAAACAACTTATTTAGCATTTACTATAGGCCAAACACTGTTCTAATTACTTCTCCTAACTACCCAGTGAGGACTATAATAATAGTGTATTGCAATAATAGTGCCCAGCGTAATAATAGTACATGGGACACTATTATTATTATTATTATTCCCGTTTTACAGATGAGGAATGGAGGCACGGAGTGGTTCAACAACTTGCCCAAGGTGACCTAGCTAATAAACAACAGAGCCAGATCCAAACCCAAGCTGTCTGGTTCTAGCATCTTTGCTTTTAACCATAACACCATGCTTTCCCAGTGCAGATCTGAATCTACATGGTCTACAGCAGAGAAGGTCATGTTCCCCCTCGTGTAGGCCCTGTCCTTTCCTGCACAGGCTGAGGATGATGGGGTCTCGGACTGTAGCAGTATAAAAGACCAACTGTGCAATGGTGCCACCAGACATCGAAAAGATCTTGGGGGATGACCCTGCATGCATAGAATTAGAAAGAAAAATACCGAGGCACCTGGGTAGCTCAGTCGGTTAAGCACCTGACTCTTGATTTCGGCTCAGGTCATGATCTCATGGTTTGTGGGACTGAGCCCCACATTGGGTTCTGCGCTGACAGCACAAAGCCTGCTTGGGATTCTCTCTCTCCTTCTCTCTCTGTCCCTCCCCCACTTGCACGCACTCTCTCTCAAAATAAATAAAACGTAAAAAAAGAAAAAGAAAAATGCCATCAAGCCATGGAATAAATGTAAGGAAGCACAACTAAGTCCAAATTTTACCAAATAATTTGCCATGGTTTTTACTGCCGGAACATCCAAATATTTCATATTTCTGTACCCTCCTGTTACCAATGCCCCAGGCACATGCTTAGTCTGCCCCTTGGGTCATCCAGCACTGCCTTGGAAGAGTTGAAAACAGCAAAAGCAAAGCTCTGTTAAGTAAGGAGGGGCTTGAGAGGAAAATTAGTAGCCCCTGGACTTGAGACCCTCAAACATAGATGACTCTCTTCCTTGGCAGTGAAAGAGGCACATCTGAGAAGAGTTCCTGCTACGTAACTTTTTCATTACTTAATTTGCGCTACAGCAGCCACTGGACACAATGTGGCTATTTAAATCTACACTAGTTTCCATTAAATTAAAAGTTCAGTTTCTCCGTCATACCATTTCAAGTGCTCAATTTCAAGTACACATTTCAAGTGCCCAGTAGCCACACGTGGCTAGTTGCTACCATATTGGACAGCACAGCTTCAAAATCTTCCCACTGTTGCAGAAAGCTATGTTGACTGGCACCTGCTCAGATCTCTCCAACCAGGCTGGGAGCAGTTGGGTTCTGTTCTCTAATAGGGTAGCTGGCACCAGCAAAAGCAGCCATGGACTACACTTCTTGCTAAAAAGCTCTGCAAAATCCATTACCTCAGAAAGTGTTTTCAGGAGACTTTCTGGAAAAAAAACATGGCTTATGCTGTTTGGCTACCTTTAATATTCAGGGGAAAGAAAAAAAAAATGTCTTGGCATTTTAAGAGGCCATACTACAAAATGGAAGGATGTGGTTACACTAGAAATTAGTGGTGAAAAAAAGAAAAAAAAAAAACTAGGAGAGTGACTCACATTATTAGTGATAAACAGTGCGGTATCAGCATAGGAATGAATATACTGGAACATAACAGCCTAGAAATAAACCCACGTATACCAAATAAATTTCAGAGCTTAAAAACTGAAGTCGAGTTGTCCAAGTCTGTAACTGTGGACTCTGGACAAGTTGCTTAGCCATTCTGTGCCTCAGTTTCCCCACTGAGGGATGATCGAGTAACATGGGAATGATAATAACCGTGCCCACCTCATTGGGTTATTGTGAGAAACAGATGAGGTAAGTCATGCTGGCACTGTGCCTGGCACGCAGTAAGCAACTGGCAAATGTTAGCTATTGTTAATTATTGTTTTGTTACTGTTTCAAATCATTAGGGGAAATGACACATCACTCATAACTAGTGTTGAGAAAATTGGGTGGCCATTTAAAATAAAAGGATTTTGACCATTTGAGCTTATACTATATATGCCAAAATAAAACCCGGACAGGTTAAAGGCTCAAATAGCAACCTAAAAAAATTAGAACAAAATGTAAGTGAATGCCTACCTAAAATATTTATCTAAAGCAGATGAGAATTTTCTAAGCATTATTTACTAATGCAGAAACCATAATGCTAACTGCTGGGAACTACTGTGGCTCCTACCACAAAGCCACCTCTTAAAAGATTTTGCCTGGCCTTGACTTCAAGTTATCATGGACTACACTTTGCAAAGCCTATCTTCCTTCTACAAAGTTCCATGTTCTTTGCTCATCTCCAGCCTGCTTTCTCTTCACCATTTCTCAAAGACCGCTTGCAGTGGTCCACTGGCTCATGTGAAAACTGTATGAACCTGCATTATAGACTGTGCTTCATCCAGGTCAGAAGACTTTATGTGAAGCAGTTAGCTCTTCTCTTGCTTTGAAATGTCCCCTCACAAACCAACAGGACAGAAGCAAAGTGGGAGTGTATGAACCTGACTTTCTCTTGACCATCCACCAGCAGGACATCATTTACCCTAAGCCACATGCCTGCCCAACTACTCCTTACCCTACACAGAAGTATTGGACAATCATCTTTTTTGTTCTGCATAACATGACTTGGGTTCTGGCTCCAGGCATGGTTCTTGCTGGTATGCATCTCTTGGTCTCCTTTGTGCATGTAGTCTGTGAAAATCTGAGTCCATCCAATCCAAAGTGTTCACAGTGTAGCCACACAAGATTTCTTTAGGGACTTCCCGCCGTTAATTCCTCACTGAGAACATTTACGGCTGACCAATTTGTATTACATTTTTTAAAGTTCTGCCATCCTCTGGTTACCCTCCCTTCCACGGTTTCATGCTATAAAATCATGCTTATTTTTCTTCTGAATCACTTGTAGAATATTCTATCAGAAACTGAAGTGAGTGAGTCATGTGTTATATCACAGATGTGCAGTGACTCAACCTTGACAGAGTAAATCCATTAGGCTAAACTCCACCATTCTCTTCAGAGTGGCTCCCTGAGGAGGTACAGTGTTCAGGAGGAATGACAGGCCTTCTCTGGGCTTATCTTCAACTCTTGCACTAATGCAAATATCACAGGTGCTGAGGAGCAAGTTAGAAAGACCCTGTGCCTACTCTCAGGCTCTGGGACAGCTTGAAAACTGCCTATGGATGTGGACATTTTTTTTCATGAATTTACACAAGCAGGGCCATTTCCTGAAAGCAATAATTCTGTTCTCCAAAAGTTACAAATAATTAGCACCATGACTTCTATTTGGCATGTGAAATTCCTGTCTGCTATTCTAGGGTCTCCTCACTTGAATTCCCTGCAGAGGAGCAGACGGCGAAGGAGATCAAAGTAGAAGATTACTTTAGAGATAAGTAACACCTGATGAATCAGCAACTTTTTAAAAATTCATTTTCGGGGCGCCTGGGTGGCTTGGTCGGTTAAGCATCCGACTTCGGCTCAGGTCATGATCTCACGGTCCGTGAGTTCAAGCCCCGCATCGGGCTCTGTGCTGACCGCTCAGAGCCTGGAGCCTGTTTCAGATTCTGTGTCTCCCTCTCTCTGCCCCTCCCCTGTTCATGCTCTGTCTCTCTCTGTCTCAAAAATAAATAAACGTTAAAAAAAAATTTTTTTTTTAATAAAAAAAAAATTCATTTTCTACTGCAGCTTCCAAATTACCATAAACTTAGCAGCTGGCCCCCATTCATTAGCTCGCACTTCTGTAGGCCAGAAGCTCAGGCACATTGTGACTGGGTCCTCTGCTCAGCGTCTTCCAAGGCTGAAATCAATGTGTCAGGTGGTCTGCCTTTCCCTCTGGAGCCTCTGGGGAAGAACCTGCTTCCAAATTCCTTGCAGCTGCAGGACTGAGGTCCCCATATTCTTACTGGCTATCAACCATTGGCGGCTCAGCTCCTATGGGCCACCCACATTCCTGCCATGTGGTTCCCTCCATCTTCAAAGACGGCAGGAGAAACCCTTATGTCAGATCCATCTCTCCCTTTGAATCTCCAATCTCCCCTGTTTCTGACCCCTAGATCCAGACTGAAAGGGCTCATGTGAAGGTCAGGTCCATCTGGATAATCTATTTGGGATCTTAATTACATCTTCAAATCCTTTCACGGCAACACTGAGAATAGCCTTTGAATGAGTAAATGAGAGAAGGTGGGTGTCCAGCAGTGGCCACATTATAATTCTGCCTACCACAATTATGCAGGTTTAAAATATGCATGTGCG